CAAAGAAAATGTTGATTATGTAGAATTATTAGAAGATATTTATTTATTATCAATTTAGAAATATGGAAAATTTGATTAATATTATTATTTAGTGATGTGTGTTTAATTATTCGTATAAAATCATTTTTAGAAATATGAAAATTTTGATTAATATTATTTAGTAATGTGTGTTTAATTATTCGTGTAAAATCATTATCAAGAAATATGAAAATTTTGATTAATAATATTATTTAGTAATGTGTGTTTAATTATTCGTGTAAAATCATTATTTAGAAATATGGAAAATTTTGATTAATATTATTATTTAGCAATGAATTAATCTTAACATAGTAATAGTAATGTGTGGTTTTTTTTATAAAATCTATATCACGTGAAACCGTTGTAACGCGATTAGTACTTATTACTAAAATCCTACCAAAAAATCCGTTGTCCGTTGAAACGCGATTTAAATATAAAATCTGTTGAAACGAGAATTTTTTAATTAATAAAATCAAGGGGTAAAACCAAAAATCCGTTGAAACAAAAATCCGTTGAAAACGAGGGTTCGACTGTACCATAAATATCCGACCACCTGATGATGTTACGCCTTATGCAGTTCAAAATTTTATTAACCAAACCGAAACTGGTGCATTAAGTAATCATGATAAACTTAAAGTCTCGTTGAGTTTGCATTAATAATGAAAAAAAGTCCGTGATTTTTATGAAAACTTTAAGCTTAGTAAAAAACTTCAAAACTCCGTTGAATCATGAATTACGTCATTAAGTAAATCCGCTTAAAATAACTTGAATTGTATATTGTTAAAATTTGATCAAGTATAGACAACAAAACGTAAAGCCTTAAAATTTGTGTTTTGTCAACTTTATTAAGCGTTTTATATAATAAAATTACGGGGTGGTCGGATACTTTTTTAAACCCTTTTCACGAACTAATTTATGCCAACACCATATTGTAGATATATGTAATCTGTTACGTTGAGCATATTTTATTAATGAAATAATATACATTACACTGAAGAAAGATTCCGATTGAAAATTTGCTTTTTTGGACTATTTGCTAAATGTCTCCATTAATACCAAACCTTTCGAAGTTTTTGTAATTTAGAGATTTTGATATCTACTTAGTAAAGTAAAAAAGGTTTTATTTAAGAAAACGTTACTTTTTTAGTAAGGACTCTTTTCATTTGACGTTACACA